TTATTTAAGCTATGACCCATAGGATAAAAATTCAAGTCAATTTAAATATATCTAACGGATTTGAAGCTAAGGTCATTTATGCATAGAAAATGCTAAAAAAAAAAAAAAAAAAAAAAAAAAAAAAAAAAACAGATCCGTTAGGCAAACTTCATTTCAAAGTAAAGCTTTGAAAGCAAGTCTTGCGATTCAGCCACAGCAATTAATCTTGTTTGGCAAAAAATGAACCGGATACTTGAACGGGATATATCAAAATCATACAAAAAACGGATGTGAGTGGTTTGTATATATATACATCAATATACTCAGATACATGTATAAATATGTATAGCAACAAAAATTTTAAAAGTTTACTTTCCGTCACTTTCAACTTATCAGCAAAGTGCGCGGCCATCAGCGATTATTTTGCTGTTCATTAAGTTGATATATTTATACGATATGTAGACTATATATAATGAATACATGTACATATATATACCAGCGTCAGCAATCTGGTTTATTATACAGTTTTTGTATTTACACTGGCCTCCTTCCAATTCCATATTTGATTAAACACACCGGTCAACAGGATTTGTTAATTAAGAATTATTTTTAAAATGTCAAAAGTCGACAAGACCAGTCCACTGACTGTTTCTGGTTTCAAAATCCAATTTTGATATACTCTAATAATATTTTCGATATTTCCAAGTTAGCTTGTTTAGTTCATTTAGGAAGATTATGCTGAAGACAGCTTCAACTCTATAAAGCAGACAGGAACAACATTATCATAAATAGAATATAAATATTTAGAATATAAAGATGTATACATACATTTAAAATTATTACGACTACTGCAGCCAGGGTATTTTATAGTAGCAGACGCCCCGTTATAGTATTCTTACTCCTAAATAGCAGTCTATTAAAGTGCAGATTAATCTAATTGAGGTTATTATTATTTTTATCTGCAGAATTTCAGATGAACCATGCTCATTAATAAATGTCTGTCAATGGATTCAGAACCAGGCTAATTTTATTTATAATAATCTGTAAATACAAACTAGATTAGTCCGCTGACTATCAGATCGCTCAAAACTATCAATTATCGTTCAGTTTTCAGTTTTCTAACTGCAATATATATGCGTAATATTTCAATAAAAATGTAGTTTATGACGCCAGCTCCGGGTACAATAAAATACATAAATACGGAATTCAGTGAAACTGTTCAGATAAGGGAATTCGCGTGAAATGTCAGCCACATATCACTCGTTCCAGGCGAGTTATCGAACTTCAAAACATACCAAGTATACCGTAAACACATAATTGTTAGGGTATAGAGAATTGAATTAACTGTGCGTGTATTGGGTAATCATGAAAAGTTAACGATCTCAGAGTTTAGAAAAATAAATTTGAAATAAATAAAAGTCCGTATACTATATATTTATATATAATCTAATATATATATATATATATATATATATATATATATATATATATATATATATATATATATAAAATTAATACATTTTTTCAATAAACAAATCAAATATTTCAAATCTAACTAACTAAGATTTAATTTAAAGAGTATCTCTTAGTCGTGCACTGTTTATCAGTAAGTAAACAGAAAGACGAATTGAGTAGTTCATTTGGGTTGTTAGAAGTACGCCAATAACAAACGCAACAAAATACAAAAAAATTAAATGCCGGTTTTTATTAGTATTTGTTTATTTTGGTATTTATCTGCTAAGCAAATGCGAACTTAAAATTGGCGAATAATAAGAATAATTGCAGACGTTCAAGCAAAGCGCGCAATACTTGAACAAAGAAGAAAACGGAACGAATGTGAGCTGCGTATTGCTTCTAATATATCTCTATTTATACACATGTGTGTGTATGGCTGTGTGTGTAAGTATGTTTGTATCGACGACTGTCGTGTGCTGCTGCTGCTGCAGCGGCAATTGGAGTCAATTGGCAGCGCCACGTTTACAGTTACCGAAGCCACGCGTACAGCGAGCGCACGAGGAAGATTGAGAGCGGGAGAGTACGAATGCGAATGCGATAACGTCAAGTAGGTTGCATAGCCAAAGATAGAAAGAACAACAAATGCAAAATAGAAAATGATAGAGAGGGAGAGAACGACATCTTCACAATGTGCAGATCAGTGTTGGTCATTTTGATTTTTCTCGTCAAATCTAGCTTTATTATGACTGGGAACCAAGAAATTTAGATATTTTTAGAAATACATTTATACAAATAAGAAAAAAAGAGCTTGATTTTGTAATTAATTAATGTGTACAAGTTTCTTTTTGTAATTTTTTTTAGCTGGTTCACTTTCATTGCCTTAAGAAAGAACTTATTTTTGATAAAAAGTTGGCAGCACTGGTGCAGATGAACAGTCTGAAGAGAAATAAAAACATTTGGAATGTGAAATGAACTGCAAACGTGCTTCTGCAGTCGAATAGCGCAAAGAGGGCATTGATTACGTCTGCGTAAACTAAATTAAATTCTATTCGTTTATCTTCATTCTTAATTTACTCAGATTATTTGCCGTTGCAATTCATTGAAATGGAGCTGGTTTGAGCTGTTCCAATGTACATAATTGAGAATTACTATATTGTAGATAGTAAAATAAAAGAAGTATAATATAAGAATATAGGTTAATTACTGAACTTGTTAAACTTAGATATTAGTACAGAGGCAGATATCATGTGGTAATATTTTAGAGGAAAGAAAAGTATTTAGTCTTATATTCAATTTCATACAAATTCCATTACAGAAGATAAATTGCGTCTGATGTCAAGTAATAATGTCGATTTTTATTACTTAGCAATTATTTGCTAAATATTAATTAATTTTTATATTCTTAAAATATTTATTTTTAGATCCACCTACATAAAAATTCCAGTACACAATCTAATGCCGATTGTTATTACTTAGCTATCATTTTTTTTTTCGGGAATTTCTAATTTCAAAGCGAGCAGCGTATTAGCCTTGCCTTTCTAAGAAATTGACAGTTGCTCAAGACTTTTTGTCTCTCGTGCTAAGCGATTTGTGTGCCGTGTCACGCAACTGTAGACAGGACACGCTCATTGTTCCATGGGATCACAAAGGTGGCTACGTAATACCAATGGAAGAATCCATTTCCCATTTCGAACAAATTGCAAACTTAATTGGAAGTTTATTAAATAAATACCAAATTTGGTAGCGTGTTAGCCTCATATGATTGACATACACAAATGGGCATATTGGTTCTACTTTGTGCTAGTTCATCTTCATGTAGGGGAATGCACTCTTATACGTACATAAGAGGAAATAGAAATTTGTTAGCTGCTCATCTGATTGAAAGTTTATTAATTAAATACCAGAAATTTATGTTATATTGATTTGGAAAATTCTTGATACTAAGAGAAATACACTCCTATTCGTATAAGAGGAAGTGGAACTTTGTTAGCCCACCATACCAAATTTGGTATCGTGTTATCCTCACTTCCAGATACAAACGGTTGACTACTTAGTTCCCATCGTCGTAAGGTAATACACTCTTATACGTATAAGAGGAAGTGGAAGAAGTGGATAGAGACAGCAAAGTAACACAGTAGATGAGGCCGGCAACATAAAACTGAGTTCGCGTAGGCCACAAATGGCGATTGGCAGCGTGCAAGAAGCTGCTGCGGCTGAAGCTGAGACTGAGGTTGTGACTGTGGAACTGGTTCTAAGCAACTAACTCGTTTTGTAAGTTGCTTTTGCGCTGCTGCCTTCAGCGTACAGTGCAATAAAAATATGTTTAATTTAGCAAAAATATAAAAACTCGTTTTTCATTTGTATTTTTCTTTTTCGAAACTTACCCAATAAAAATAAATAAATCTTCTTGAAGAATTCTGATATGGTAATCCTTTAAGTCACCTTTTAATTGATTTTATTTTGATATAGATATATATATATTTTTTTATTTATTTGTATTTCTTTTTGTACAATCACACACGTATTAATTATTTAGATATATATACTTGCTATTTTTATGATAAAAATGAGACGAAATTTTGAGCATAGCAACAACAAATCATAGCCGAGGTCAACAACAGCAACACGAAGAGGAAGAAGTAGAAGTAGAAGTAGAAGAAGAAATGCAACAGCTAGAGCCAGAGCAACATAACGTAAGACAAGACATGAGAAGTGAGAGAAGTGCCGACGATGTTAATTCCTTGAAATTGGCGTCAAATTTCATTAGAAGCAATTTTTTCAATTAATAAATTTAATTATGGTTTGCGCCTCTCCTCCAATACTTTCATCGCGCCACAAATAACAAATAACACGCAACACAGCGCGAACAAACCGCTCACTTTTTATTTATTTATTTTTTCTTTGGCTGGCTCATATAACACGTATGTACATTTATTTCTTAACTAACTTGTTCGCTGTTGTTGGCGTTAAGAATTTAAATACAATTTTGGCCCAAATTTCATTTTCACTTTTTCACACACACAACGCGAAACACGCTACACACACACACTCTCACACTCATACATAAACAGTAGTTTGATATTTTTATTATAGCTTTTGATTAAAACTCATAATCATTTACATTGCAACGTGTAATTTATTTGCAGAAACTTATTTATATCTTCGGCAACACAAGAAAACAACAAACGACGACGGAAATGTAAGAACTAAAAAATAACAACAAACGCGTCCATCCCGTTCAATGTTTTTTTTTTGACTGACCAAAACTACTAATATCGATGTGCTTTCGTTCAAGTCATCGATGCAATGGTCGGAAATATCGATGTATCGAAGATACTCATCTCAGCGATATTTGTTAACATTAAATTTAGTAGTGTTAGTAATTTAATTTTAATTATTTATTTTCTAATCTAAAGAATTTTTTCATCAATGCTTTGAATAAGAATACACAGTTGAGAAATGTGTTAAGTTTTTTATATAAACGGAGTATGCGATATTAATCAAATGAAATATTGTTACACACCTACTAAACATTTTTATATTACATGTCTTGTACGTAAATTGTAAAAAAGTTAGCGTTATTTTTTGGAATTTGTATTGTTTTTGTTTTGAATAGATAGCAAAATGCGTTGTTTTCAGTAACGCGCCAATAGTAGGATGAACGTTAAAGCCGAAAGCTTATTCAAAACGCTTAACAAATCAGCGAGTTACACATTCTGTTAAGTAGACAGCTGTTCCATGCAGTAAGACCATCAGCAAGAAATACTGAAATCCGTCGATGATAAATGAAGTTGTTGGCATTTTCTAGCGAGTAGAGAAAATCCGTATTGAACGAAAAGTGTAAAAACGTCGACAACGTCGCAAAGTGAAAACCTTTCCATTTTAAGAAAAGTTGCTACTGCTGGTTACTAATTAAAAGAAAAAAAAAAAAAAACCCTAACATGAATGAGGAATACGATGCGATAGTTCTGGGCACTGGCCTCAAGGAGTGCATATTGAGCGGCATGCTCTCTGTTTCTGGCAAGAAAGTGCTGCATATTGATCGAAACAAATACTATGGCGGCGAGTCGGCCTCCATTACGCCGCTGGAGGAGCTCTTCCAGCGGTACGGTCTGGAGCCGCCTGGTGAGAAATTTGGGCGTGGTCGCGACTGGAACGTGGACTTGATACCCAAGTTTCTAATGGCCAATGGCCAACTGGTGAAGCTACTGATACACACGGGCGTCACCCGTTATCTGGAATTCAAGTCGATTGAGGGCAGTTACGTTTACAAGGGTGGAAAAATTGCCAAAGTGCCGGTGGATCAAAAGGAGGCGCTGGCATCCGATCTCATGGGTAAGTGCAAGTAGAACTACAACAAAAGAAAGGTGAATCCGGAGCCGGAAGACCCCTATCCGATTGGACCTTTAACTGTGAAAGCAGAAAGTACATGCGAAAAATTTATATGCATGTATGTATGTATGTGTGTATACATACTTCGCATTTAGCTGCGCGCTCCCCTTTTCCGTTTTCTCTCTCTCCATGTTTCTTTGTCTACGCTTGCTTGCGGCGATTGGCACTCGCTGGTGTTGCTTTTGCTCTGACTGTGACACGTATTTGTAGAGGGTCTCTCTCTGTGTTCTAAGCATATATGTATGTGTGTGTGTGTGTGAGTGTTGTCTGCGTTTCAGCATTTAAAGCCTCCCATTTTTTTTCCTGTTTGTTGCCCCCTTTTAATACATTTAGTTTTTGTTGTATAAAATGATTTATAGAATATCTAAGAAAATTTAATTACTTTTCTTATAATTATATATACATACATATTTATATATGTATATTCGTATTAGATGTATATATGTATATATGCAGTCCAATTAGAATTATGGAGTTGCCAGCTGTTTGCCATGCGTTCTGTGGCAACCCTGTGCATACCTTTCAGGCAATTAACCGTTGCGCTGATTCATTTTTCTACACCTGTGTGTGGTGTTATGGCTGCGGCTCTGTGGCTATTGTTGCTGCTTTTGTTTTGGCATGAAATTGTTTAAACAATTACTAGTTGCCAACTACAAAACGCAATTAGCCAATCACGCTCCATTTATGACTATCTTTAATTTTGTTTTCTTTTCAGTTTTTCATTTTTTTTATTTTATAATTTGTTTATTTCGCTGTAAATTTCTCCTCCATTCAGTTTATTTGCCAATTTCTTTAGTTTGGCCATAACGAGCAGGCTCGCAAGGTGCATTGAACCCTTCACTTAGAGCCTGCATGACAGAATGACGTCACTCTGACTTCGACTGGCCGGCTGGTGGTGTTTTAGCCCTTAAATTAGCACTGTCAATTGTGTGTCCCCATTTTGGATGTATGAGAGTTTTAAAAACTTTAAGACTTTAAAACTTTATATGTGTGTATTGCGGGTTTCTGTTGTTGATGTGTTTGTGCTACCCCATAAAGTATATCATAAATTCGTAGTCAGCAAGGTAATTTTATTATAACTTGTGTAAACTCAATTAATTATAAATATGTGAACATATTTCCTATATTTAATTTAAGGAAAAGCTAATTATGCATATAAAAAAGTGGGTTCGAGTATTTACTAGTCGATTACTCCCTGCGAATGCTGCTTTGCTTATATAGTTATTCTAGAAATTTCCATGTAACGATGTTGAGGTTTTATATAACAAATCAGTTGAGAAGATTTTATGCTCTTTTATGAAATAGAGCATATTGCTTAACATACAACAAGTATAAGTAATATATAAAGATATTTCAAATTTAAAAACAAATTAACCTACAGTTAATATAGTTTCCCAATTGATACTACTTATATATCCGTTTATACTGACTTGCCTCTGAATTTGTTTTATATTCACATCAGGTATGTTCGAGAAGCGCCGCTTCCGCAATTTCCTGATCTACGTGCAGGACTTCAGAGAGGATGACCCAAAGACCTGGAAGGACTTCGATCCCACCAAGTCCAACATGCAGGGATTGTACGACAAGTTCGGTCTGGACAAGAACACGCAGGACTTTACGGGCCATGCCCTGGCACTGTTCCGTGACGATGAGTATTTGAATGAGCCGGCTGTTAATACCATACGACGAATTAAACTGTATTCGGATTCGCTGGCGAGATATGGCAAGTCGCCCTATCTATATCCGATGTACGGCTTGGGTGAGCTGCCACAGGGCTTTGCCCGTCTCTCGGCTATCTATGGCGGCACCTACATGCTGGACAAGCCCATTGACGAGATTGTGCTGGGCGAGGGTGGCAAGGTGGTGGGCGTGCGATCGGGTGAAGAGATCGCCAAATGCAAGCAGGTGTACTGCGATCCCAGCTATGTGCCCGAAAAGGTAAGTGGAACTCTCCTATTAGTCTTCTACAAATTCTATATGATGCCTTTCATTGAACAGGTGCGCAAGCGTGGCAAGGTCATCCGTTGCATTTGCATCTTGGACCATCCGGTGGCAAGCACTAAGGATGCCCTCTCCACTCAAATTATCATTCCACAAAAGCAAGTCGGTCGCAAATCGGACATTTACGTATCGCTGGTCAGCTCCACTCATCAGGTGGCCGCCAAGGGCTGGTTTGTGGGCATGGTCTCCACCACAGTGGAGACTGAGAATCCGGAGGCGGAAATCAAGCCCGGCCTCGATCTGTTGGAGCCGATTGCACAAAAGTTTGTCACCATTTCGGATTACTTGGAGCCGGTGGACGATGGGCTCGACTCACAGATCTTTATCTCTGAATCGTATGATGCCACCACGCATTTCGAGACCACTTGCCTGGATGTTCTAAACATCTTTAAGCGCGGCACTGGCGAGACGTTTGACTTCTCCAAAATTAAACACGAGCTCGGCGATGAAGAACAGTAAATGGCAACGGTTCGGTTCTTTGGTGGATGGATGGACGAATGGGTGGAAGGGCGTTTCAGGCAAACACAAGGGTCACGCTGTCAAGACCATCTTTCAGCTCGAGTAACTCCAAACAGCATCTCTAAAACATCTGCGCCGCTCTGCGGCAATGACCCGACAATTGAATTAAAAACAAAACAAACAACAATAAAAACAAAAGCGATATAAATACCCAAAACAAAAACAAATTTCAAAACAATTCGAAGAATTCAAAAACACAAAAAAACAAAATAACTGCGAAAACAAATTGTATTAAAATCGCATAATGTTTTTTCATCAGATCATAGGCGCATAATATTTTTGTGTGTATCGAAATTTTAGACATGTAATAAAAAACAAGAAAAAGCTTGCTTATCGCAATATTGGATACATATATAAATACATGCATAGGAATACACTCACATTATAATACGAAATAACTAGCAAACGGCGCATTATAAAACATATAGCCTAATACATCTCGAGTCACATACATGGAGCAAATTATGTATTGGCAAAAATTGATTGTTGTGAAAAATATTGATATATACCCTTAGCTGTCTATCTCTCTCACTCACTCTTAGCAGACACTTTCCCTCGTGCCCCAAAAACCAGCCAGATTTATCCAATACAGCGCCTGCTTCTTAAACAACCATATATAAAGAATGTTCCCCCAAAAAAAATGTTCTACGCTCGATGTGCTTGCGAATCAGTTGTAAACGATAAATATAACACCCATAATATATATATATCTGTGTATATGTATATGTATATTGCTATCAATAGTTGCTTGGTTTTGTTTAGTGATTGAAGATTTGTGCACAAGAAACCACAAAGACCCAAAACATATATATATCAATATATATAAATATTATAAACGATTCTATGTACACGCAAAATGCATCAAATAAAGTTTTGTAATCCAAAGCCAAGCTGAAGAAAAAAGAAAAAAATAAGAAATGAAATGCAAATCGAATTGCATCGTCGGAAAATGTAAACATGAAATGATTATTTGAGCATCCGTATATATATTTGTATAGATATATATATAGGCAGCGATACGAGAACAGGTCTACAAAACTATGGTATTCCGCATTTTCTGAATTTACATTTTTAATAAAAATTACATACAAAAAAAATTCCAAGAAATTCATTTGTTGTATAGGGAAAGTGAGATAAAAAAAACGGAGGTTTAGGGAACTTAACTAGACGAAGAATTACTTTCCATGCTATCCACTTTTAAATTTTAGGAGACAGGAAGTAAATGGATAACTTCTTAGTCGAGTTGATATAACATATATTTACCATATATTTATGTAGGACAGGTTTATTATTCTGGCCTTTCATTCATTCTCATATCCCATTAAGAATATATAATCTTATGGAATATTTTCACAGCTGGATAAAATTCCAAATTTATTACTTTATTTATGCTTAATTAATGTATTTATTTATTTATTTATTTTTTGTTTGTTTATTTATCCTTATCTATATATTTATCCTATGTATTCTTATATAATTTTGGTTGGTCCTCAAGCTTCGGATCCAAGTCAGGGGTTTAAGTAAGTGAGATGAGTTTTCCAAGGCTAATATCAGTTTTTAGTGCATGAATACATATGTATGTATATATTAGAATATATACATGTGTATTATTTTTAAATCTCTATAAGAACATATAGACAACGTAAACGTTGGCCGCTATGGCAGAAGGCGTGGCAGTATACTTCTGGCTGTTATGGGTATTTAAAAAACAAATTTTCCTGAAAATGTATTTTCCATAGCCCAGGGTAGTAATTAAATTCGAATTATTTTTTTTAAGTATATTTAAAATCTGTCCATTTGGACATACGTAAATAATTACATAAAATATTTTTTATTAAATATTACTTCTTAAAATATTAATAATAATGTGGAACACCTATATAGAGACTTTTATCGAGCTCTATATTTACTTAAAGCTTACTTTAAAGCGACCCACTGCATTTATACCCCAAAGGATAAAGTAACGACATCCGGTTACCTGTCTGGGTCTGTGTGTGTGTGTTTGTGTCTGCGTGTATATTGTCGTTGACAGTTTGCTTGAGCAAAGGCCAAGATTTTCGATTTCCGTTCAAGACGGTCAATAAAGGTTCAGCTTTCAGGCTTATCAAAATAAAAATAATTTAGTCTGCTGACTGAAGATTACTTTAAGTCAGAAAGGTCGGTAAAGGGATAGTTGACAGGTATGTACATTACGTAGATTTTACTTTAATGGTATGAAAAATTGATGATATTACTTGAAAATTTTGTGATCTGGCAGCCAAATCGGATATTGAGATAAAAATTCTGTGCTATGTGGTACAAATAAAAGCTCCACAGATAAGAGGTTCGTAAACATAACATTGATAATAAAGCGTCTTGGTATGGGAACAAAAGTTTATTAAGTATTTGTTTTAGAGCTTCTGCATTATTATAGATTGAGGCATTCGAGATGTCTAAAACAATTGTTGACAATATCATGGAATATATTCCATGGAATATGGATCGTATCAAATACATGATCTTTCTTGAATATCCTCAGCTAAGCATGCACGATATTTATGCAATTTCATGTGCCCAAATATCCATCTCAAAAACTGAATCTGAAGTGTCAGATTGTCCGACTGATAATAATACTGTTGAGACCAAATACTGTTTTAGACCAAATTCTTAACAGATCTTAATAATTATGTTAAATTATCTCATTAAAATTCCATAAATACATAGATATTATTAGATCATCTAAAATAATTTCAATCGTAAGTGTGTTTACCATTTTAATATAATATAGATGAATCGGTAAAAATTCAGTAGAGTTATTAAGTGTGAAACGAAGTGTTTCCTGTGCGGTTGCCTTCAAAACCGTTGTGCAGAGTCCTTGGGCAATTGATTGGGATTAACGGCGTTGCGCTCCATGATTGCAGACACTGCAGAACACGTCCTTCAAATGGAACAGGTCTTTGACCACACTCGTTGCGATACACGCTCATTAAAAAAAAAAAAAGCAAAAGGGGTATATTCGGCAAATTTATTAAGCATTATATATAGGTATAAGGGATTATCTATTAAATTTGAAAGGCATAAATAATAAGTGACTCACAAAATCAGATTATGATGATAAGAATATTTTTTTTATGTCAATATTTTCACAGGGCGAGTATTACATAGTCGGTATGATTCTACTGCTCTGTTTAAACTTGTTATGGATGCTTTTTGTTAACTGGGCAAATGCCAGTCAAAAAATTTGGCTCCCAACGCAGAATGCAAGTCACATACACAAGGGAGTGAAAATTTGACTTGGTCGTCGACGTCGTCGTCGTCGTCGCCATCGTCATCGGCGCAGGGCTGCTGGGCATGCCTAAGCCTCATTGAGGTTCCCTTTCATGTCCTTGGTGCAGTTACTTTTGTTCTTGTATTTGTATTTGTGTGTGCCGTTGGTCAGTTAACGCTAACGAGCGAGCGAGCAGACGGACCAGAGTGACGTCTGACGCAGCGGACTCGTAATAAAAGCCAGCCGCAAGAGCGCGCCACAAGGATAAAATACTTTGAACAGCAAATACACATACATTGCATACATATATACACTCAAACAGGCATATAAGTTTGTATTTGTATGAAATACACTACAAACTTTTTCAACATTCACATGCACATGTATGCACATATCTGTGATTGCTAATACTTGTACAAGCGCGATGTAAGTGTACGAGCATGCTGGACTTCAAAAACTATTTTTAGAATGCTTACGCTATTCGGAGAAAGAGAGAAAGAAAGGGAGAAAGGTAAAGAGAATTTTTTGCATTGTTGTTGAAGCATTTGCAGGCATCCATTCCTTCGAGAGAGCAATGAGAGTAAGCAAAGCAAAAACATAAAGAGAGACACTTTGATCGTATTAGATATGTGGCGGCTGGTTCTCATTGCTCACTGAAGGAGTAACAGAATGTGGGAGCTAAGCAAATACGAAGATGCAACGGGACCTGTTTAGCTGCGTGCTTTGAGGAATTATTAAATGCAGGTCGAAGCAGAGAGCAGGGTATCTCGCGTGGCAAGAGTAAATGTTATCACATTTCTATGTTAATATATGTATATACATACATATGTACATATATGATCACTTTTGTAAGTCTTTAGCACTAGCAAATTTTATTTAATTAATTTTAATACTTAAAAAATTAAATACTAGTATTCTTTTGAAATGCAAGTGTGTTATCATGTTTCTCACAAAAAAGTAATTTTTCAAATCTTTTAGCAGATTGCTCCCTTTGATTCTTTTGCATACATATGTAGACAGTGCTGTCAATTTGGCTGCTTTCCAGTCACTTTTAGCGTTTTCAAAGAACAAAGAACACGGCATTAAGATTAGGGATAGTTCATTGCTTAGCTTTTTATTTAGCTCTCTTTACTAGCAAATTTGGCTTGTCGATACTCTGAGGGACTGGTTGCACTGTATGCACATGTAAGAGAGCAGTGAGAGTACGGAACGAAAAGAAAGGGACTGCCATCTTGCTCGATCGCATTAGTCTTAAGACAGCGAAGCATCAATGCTCGTTAGGTATATAGGAGCAGAGGAGACCCAAGCAAATACAAAGTTGCAACGGGACCTGCCATACAGATTTGTTGTTGGTAAGTATGTTTAGAAGTATGTATTTGGATTTGTATGTGAGGTGGGCTCGGCCTTGGCTGCGCCGTTGCTAGTTGGCGCCTGTTGACAAATTGAATATCTTAGCTCGTCGTCATTCTTAAGGCGTAATGTCATTAATTATAATTATAATTAAAGTATATGAGATATAGCGCATACGACACGTTGCCAGCCTGTTTTGTGTGTAGCGCGACACTTGAAGCGGCGGCAGCAGCAGCAGCAGCAGCAGCTGCAACAACCATCAACTACTTGAGCCTGGCTGATGCCACGTTTTTTGTTTACTGCTGTTGCAGTTGCCACAGCTGTTGCTGCCGCTGAAGCTGCTGCTGTTTCTGTTGCTGTTGCTGTTGCTGCCTTTCAATTACTTGCACTTCTGTTGCAAGTAGTTGTTGCTGTTGTCGTTGCTGTTGTTTGCATTTTCTTTTGCCCAAGAGCTTGTCAACAACTTCATTATCGCATGCGGCACTGTGCAACATCATCAACTCCCACTAGACAAGCAAATTTAAATCAATTAAGTAATCTTATTGCTGCTGCTGCTTCTGTTGCTCCTTTGCCTTTTGCCGTTGCTTTTAGGCGTGGCTCACACCCTCTCACCCACCCTCACACACACACAAACACACACACTCACACACGGACGCCCACACACGCTTTATGTGTCAAGCATTATAACTGTGGCAATTTGTTGCCATGCGTGTGTGTGTGTGTGTTTGTGTGCGTGCGTGTG